CCTTGCTCCTAGTAGCGATGCCAGGAGCCCCTAGTAGCGTCCTTGCTAGTACAAAGCAAAGAATCTGTTCTCATGCCGTGCCTCGAGGAAGTTGCTGCCAACAGGAGCCTCCCCCAATTTAGATCGACCAGTGCCCGAGGTGTCAGAGGCGATGTAGACAACCTTTACACCGAAATGAATGACGGTGCTTCCGACGTGTCCGAGTTTTAAGGGTTCCACGGTTCCAGTATATATCCACATTTTCTTGGCAGCCCGCATGGCTCATAAAATGAGTTGAGCTCAAAACGTGTGGCAAAAAAAGTGGCCGGATGCCATGATGAAGTGTTCAATTGCAGCCAGGAGCATAATACTCCAAGCAATGAAGATCTGCAGGAGGTAGCCATACCAAGCTTCCATTCACCACCTGGACTCCAGCAAGTAGTGTCACGAGAGGCTGGACGAGGATTAGCTACCAATGCGTTTCAATTCTTTTCAAGACACATCCATGTTGAGATCTGTGCCGACAAAGCTGATAGTGCCCACTGTAGCATTGTGGTCCTGATGGAACGTGACAACGTGACACAACAACATACAGTCTGAAAGCTGTTTGGATGCAGCTGGTTGTGCCAATTGATCAACAGCCAACTTTGCTGAAAGAATCGAGCTACACACCGCGAAACAAAACTGTAGTGCCAAAAAATAGTTCCCCTCCTCTATCTCCACGCTGGAAGGTGTACTTTGCTCTACCAAGCTGGAAGCGGAATAAACCAGCCAGTGCGTCAGATTTTCCAGCACAGTGTCCTTGGTCGGCCAGGATAAAATAACGATTGTAAGAAATGACATGGATCATACACTCACAATGTGTTCCTACAATCTGCGAGAGGGAAAAAGACATGTTGCAGCGTTGCTCTCCAAGGAACTGCCGGCAGTGTGGCAGAGTTGTTTCCAACCCTGAGATGCATGAAATGTCAGGAGGTTATGACGTTGTGTGGTTGAAAAGTTCAAGAACTGTCTGGGTACATGCAGGCAAAGTACGGATTCAAAGCATACATCGACCGGCACCATCCGCTCTTGGTGTCTTTGGATCCTTGAGCCCGATCAGTTACGCTGGTAGAACTTGTTGCACCATAGCCATCGCACCCAGCTGCCTGAGAAAGCAGCTTCTGAGACTGTCTGCTCTAGCTGTTCAGAACCACAAATCCTGGAATGTCAGGCTGAGCTCAATACCCCAGCCATGGCCAAATATACTGCATAATGAGCAACCTCAAAGGGCAGTGGAGTTATTTGTATGTTGTTTTTGCCGATGCAGATTCAATTACACACCGCAATGCTTTGCGCACACTTTGGGTTCACAGTTCACAGATTGGGTCACAAAACCTACATGTGCCAACTGACTTTATCCACCCTCCCTCACTGGCCCTGTACCTCAGCTATGTCATATGGCGAATCCCAGGTAAGGTAGCCTCGCCAAAGCATAAAGTTCATGTGTGATGTGTGCTCTGACAATACGACGAGCCCCTTCACAGAATCGAATCAAAGCAATGTTCATGCCTCCCAGCTCTTCTGCATCGAGATCGCACTCGGGGAATGACAGGTTTGCAACCTAGGCTTCACTGATATTTTGGTACTGGAACAAACGGAAAATTGCCAAAGCAGTGCTTGTGACATGAACCTTCTGTTACAGCAGCCAAGTGAAAAAAGTGCAAAACCAACGTCCCACTTATAAAGTCACAATAAGCTCTTCTCGGATGTCTCCAAATGTCTCCCTACACTAAACGTTGATGGTCGATCTTTTGCTTCAACCCTAGTGAAGTAGTTTAGGGTATTCAACTCTTTGATCGTGGTGAATGTCTTTTGTGAGTATAGAAAGAATTAAATATAGATAGATAGATAGATAGATAGACAGTGGCATGTCCCTCATGTTCTACATAAGTTTCCCGGCAAGAGCCCATCCTACAACCAACATGACCATCGGTATCGTCCCCAAACTTGGTCTTGAACGAGATGGCATGAGACTGACACAAAAAAATGGTGTTATCATTCTTCAAAAATAATGTTTTCCAAGGCAATGACGAGTCCATCAATGCCAATGAGAACTTGGTACAAAGCATTGTAAAATAGCATGTCCAAAGCCTTCCTCTTCCGTGCAACACATTTCTTGCTCACTGGCCATTACAAAAGGACCTGATGTCGAAGCACAAACTGCTGTTTAAGTTGTCATTCAAAAGAAGTTTACCCAATCTCCCAAGGCATTATTGCTGTGAGCTATTGACAAGTCACAGTCCCGTCAAAGTCCTCAATCAAAAGTGATGTTGGCGTTGTCTGAGCCTGTTCAATGGCTGCACATCATGGCACGTCAGCTGCCAAGATTGCCTTCAATCATTAATTGAAGTAGCACAGCTTGGGTGAATTGAGATGCAAGATGTGCATGTCTACATGCACTTTGTGAAGCTCCTCCAAAGATGACTCCGAGTAGACAGTGAAATAGTTGAAGCTGTCCAGTGGCGTCTCGGCTGGTAGAGCTGCCTGGCACAAAGAATAACACAGAACAAGCTTGAATGATAAATGTCAAAACGTCTCGATTTTGTACGAATGTTGATGAAAGGCAATAGGACTATCCAGCCATGGTGCCAGGTTGGTCCCAACTGGAAGACTGGAAATCAGAGATTTGATGCTACCCGCAGCATCAGTGGAGAGGTAGGCACCTTCAGACAATGAGGCATGGCAAAAAGCTCAAGTCTAGGCACTGGATAGCTCAATCATGCAATGAAACTCTGACTGGTGCACTTCCGGAAACAAAACCTGCAAACATAATTAGATCTGAGGGCCCTTGCACAACATCACCCTGAAACTAAGCTTCCAGCTGTATGTGAGCACCCGGCCATCCAAAATGTCAGGAGGCTGCCACGATCTGAGCACACTTTGAATTTGATATCACTACCTCAACCTTGATGATAACGGTCTGAACCTATGCACACAATCTGAACCTCTGTGCAAGCAGCTAAGCAGCGTCCAAACCGTATGCTGTCTTTACTGGACTGTTATGGACTTTGTGTACCAGTTAGCACATTCTTCAACGTGTGAGCACAAACCGAAAGCAAAGTTCTGTAGAGGATTTGTGAACGCTGGACGCTACTAGGAGCAAAGGGCATCGCTACTAGGAGCAAGGACGCTACTAGGGGCTCCCGGCCTTACTACTAGGAGCAAGGACGCTACTACTTACTGTGAGATCAAAACTTCCAGTGCGACAAGAAACACTTCGCCGCCCAGCTCTCCAGTGTCCAAATCCTTCCAAAAGCACATGGTCATGGCATCATGGAGTCCAGGCTGATTTGCAAAGTAAGTGCTTCTTACAACATGGATTAGCAAGGCCCTACAAGGCTTTTGAAAACAAGATCATCTTGGCGAGGGGAATCAAGCTGCCTTCTGTGCAAACTCAAAACCGGACATTGCGTGGATTCATCTTGCAGCTGGAACAGCCAACAACTGTACATTGAAACGAGAAATGTAAAGCAAGTGCAAAGCAAAATCTTGGAGATTAGTACGATGTTATACTCATCAAAAGCTCATTATAGCTCCATGCACACCAAGAAAAGGACAGGGGCCATTTAGGATTGGCCTTGTCACTGAAGGCCACTTGCGAGACGGAGCCGTCCAAGTCTTCCACCAGCAAGCTTGTTGGGGTACTCTGCTCCAAGAGTGTAGAACGTGTGTAAACCAGGCCTTACCACTCAAGAAAGGCAACCGGAAACATTAAGAAACGTCTCGGAAAATGACTTCTGCTCTGTGGCTCCCACTTTAGAAGCCAAGGGACAATGAGTGTAGCCTGTGAAATTGGTATTGGCCGGGATATTGAACCTGGCATGTCGACAATCTCAGCTCTCCTTTCGTTCTCGATTAACACCACTCGCCAGCTTCAAACTTCAAGTTGTAAGACAATCCCCCCGAACAGTTGAACTTCCACGGTCCGACGGTAGTAAAGGTTACATAAGATGCCGGCTTTGAGATTTGTCCGCCACCGAAAGGTATGTTCATGTTCCTCTTTGATGGCTTCTGGTTGTATTCCCCTACTTTACAGTTCAGGTCGACGGAATTCACCACGAAACTATGTGACTGGGGATTGACTCCTTGAGGGGAAACTCACTTCAGATTTCAGAATTCCGACTCGAAGAAAGGGGTTCTGTTTGAGTGCTCCACCTCAGATTTTCATGTCTTCACAGGTAGGTGTAGGTGTCATACTGTTTTTGATTCCCTATATATCTAGACTGCACTCTTCTGGAACTCTTACCCAAATGTTCAACTGTCATGCAAAGACAAACCATGCCCCAACATGCGTGTGGCATTGTATTGAGTATTGAACAACTCTTTCAAATTCAACTGGGCGATGAGCTGCACACCGGCCGTCTCTTTTGCCTTCCGAAAGTAGCCCCTCGTGCCAAGTCGCGTGTTGCTTTCACTGGCATTGTAGTTGGTGCCCGAAACCTGCGCCGAGCTGAGCTGGGTCAAACTCCAAAGACTGCAACTTGCTCCTACAAAAGGGATTGAAGAATTCGTGGCGAAGGCTGAAGGCAAGAATTGCTTCAAGAATTCATGCCCCTGCAGGTGGAAATGAATTGAAGCTTGTTGAGTTGAGACTTGACACGGGCACAAGCAATTGAAAAAATTGACTCAAACTCCCATGTACATCTCATCTGTGCACCTCGCAATCTGAAACTACAAGCAAGCGCAATATGAATTGAGCCGCGGAGCATCCACATCTGTCAGAACTTGTATTCTGTCAGTCCCATTTGCATCTGCTGCCAAGAACACCCGGAAGGCCGAGACATAGGTAAGCTCGGCTGGTGGGGTCCTGAAGTAGGGCTAAGTGAAAAAGCTAGAAACAAACTGACCAACAGTGCATGATGTGAGCCTAGGAACACAAAGAGGGGGAGAGAGGTTAGGATGGGACAAAGGTATTATTCTATGAAAAACTACGCAACTTTTCACGAAGCAAAGTACATTGTTACATTTGCATGACAAAGACAAGTTGAGAAAGCAAATGAAAGCGGCGATCAAAGTCTCTGGTCTGGACTCTTTTCCAATGGGATTTGATGTGACTGTGCTAAGCCAGCGGCCAGTCCAAGGTGCCTCCCACTTCCAGGACATCAAGATCAAGATCTGCAAAGACCTGCTATATCTGCTATCAAACACTCTTGAGCTTGAGCAAATGTCTGAAATGAAACGAATGTGAAGAAAGGAAACGTACGAAAAGCTCACACCAACTGAGCTTGGGCACCAAGGCTGACACAGAGGCGATTGTATCAGAGAAAGTGAAGCTCCCAGGGGTCGTTTGCCTGTAGTAGACAGTGCTTCGGCAAGAGAGATGGATCCTTTGCAATTGGTGTGGGGATTGTCCAGTATGATCAAGGCCTACCTGGCCAACCTGTGTCATTCATATATGAGAATGAGAACATTAGAATCATTAAGATCAAAACATCAATATCACCTCCTACTTGATACACGATAGGGAATTTACTCCAAACTGATTTTGCTCATCTCTTCGCTTAATCCACTCCCACCTTTGGACTGAAGCATCTGACTTTACGAACTCACTTCGATGTTGGAAGCTCAAATGTCTCTACCCGGCCCCGTCCAATCTATGCTCTTCCCTGGCCCTGCCTCCTTACTGAATGCGCCTACTTAATTAGGGGGGGACTAGTTAGCTTCTAGGTATGAAGCAAATGGCTCACGCACTGATCACTTGGTTCCTAGATTTCTAGGAATACTTAGTTCATCGCAGAATTCAAAAGATTCCGCGGGTCAAAATGTTTTATCAGAGTGGCTCCACAAGAGACGATCGAGTGTAGACTACCACATCCTGAGCAAAACAAGGATTGTCAACTGCTTTAGACATTGGCTTTTGGTCACACCCCTCTGCATTTGCATGGCTTCCAGGAGCCTAGTTGAACTGGATGCACTGGCAAAATCCAAAGCACAAAGCGCATCCAACGCACACACGCACATCAAACCCAAGGGTCAGTATTGTGTCCTTTGGCGGTGTCTGCTGGGATGTCCATCTGTGTTGCTCCATCCACATGAGGAATACCTTCACCAATCCTGAGAAACCACTCTTTCTCAAAAAAGAACTGTGAATGTCAAAGTGTCCTCCAAAAAGCCACTACCAGACGGGTTGGATGTATCCTATTCCCTGTAACAGCCTTTCTCTAAATACTGATAGTTGTTTACTGACTTTTACAGTTACAGGTATATGATATGGGACAAACCCCACAGATGCGCCTATGTCGGAAAATGTCCTGATCCACCAGGGCCGCTCTGGCCTGCTACCTACCAGGACCTACCACCCCAACATAGAGGGATCAGAGTTCAACTCTGTTGTCTCGGTGGTGGCAACACAAAAACGAAAAGAGACGAGGCACTGTGACTTCCAACTTCCGATGCTGTCTTGGGCCAGGTACATCAGGTATGCCTTTGTGAATGCGCAATGGTTTCTGCTTGCAAGCAAACAAGAGTAAACAGAATTGTTCACACCCACCAGCCCTTCAAGTTTCCAAAAGAGCAAGCTGTCACTTCCCGCTGACTGTGGTTCCTGCATGTGCTGTTGCTCCTTGTCACTGACTTTCTATAGTATGGCTAGTGTTTGGTTGATGCTGCCAGGTGGCTGTGACGGCCACAGTTCTAGCAGGTGGATCCCAATAAACCGTCCCAGCCAACTCTGTCTCATCCAAGTCCAGATCTGTGAAGCTCACATTGGAAACCTGAAAAACAAGAACAAGGTAACAAGAGTAGAGTTAGTTCCAAGATGTGATACAAGATGATACAAGTATCATTGTCGCGTCTTCCGACTGATCCAATCAATTGCAAAACGTGTCTGTAGCACAAGGCCTACGTCGGGCCTGGACCAATAAAACATCGATAGGGTACTTGAGGCAAAGAATAAAACAAGTTGCAACCGGACAGTCGCGTGAGTAAACCATGGCAAACCCAATGTGAAGGTAAGGGGCACTGGCCACTTCATCATACAGCAACCATGTGGAAGGAGTGCGTTGTTCCGTTGTTGGTGAGTTGGAGGTGATGGCCAGGTACACGTAAGACCTCGGCAATGACATGACCTGGACTGGCCTGCTTTAAGCAGGAGAGTCTGTGAATGTCACTTTAGCAAATTAGATTCGAATCATGTGAAATGACGCAAATGGTGATTCACACTGCGATTGTATCAAAACATCTTCATCTCCCGAATGACCATGATGCGGATGCACTCCGAGGCTGCAACTGCAGCGCTGTGTCGGTGGGAATAACCTTCTCAGTCAAAGGCACCTCAACCACCACAGACTGAGTACAGTACTAACTAGCTCAGTGTGTTCGGTCTTGAACAACACATGCGGTGCTTTTCGATATTTCCGTCTTGGACGCTAATGCTAACCCTTATCAACTGTAGAATACCACGCTGAGGCATAATAAGGCTTTGGCAAAAAGGCAACCTGATGCAGCCAAAGTGCGTCGACCTCTTCAAGCAATGACGTTGTGTCATCTCCTGTCAAGGACTGGAAAGGAGAAGCTGTTATCAAATTGACCCTGGTTATCTTATATAAGTGCCTTGAGTAGTTCCAGTGGTGGAGAAGTAAACTCGGAAGAAAGTGATGTCACCCAAGACCTCGCCGCAAAGGCTTCAACAAGCCTTCTTTGAAGAAGCTCTTGCCATCTTTACCAAAGGCCAGGACACTCATTCTGCCAAAAAAACTACAGCTTGTGAAGGAAACAGCAGAAGTAATGAATGGCCGAGACACTGATGGCAGTGACCATGACAAATTCCTGAAGAGCGCCGATCCCATATACTGGGGTCTAGTCGCACGGTGGGGGCCAATAGTTCAATTGGAAGTGAGGAGTTGTTGCTTATCTAATGTCCTACTTGCTTTAGAGCAACACCATTATACAATTTCTTCAAATTGAGTGTGATCCTGTAGGTCTATGACCCAGATTGGCACAGGTCCACAATTACACCAACATCCTGTCCGAAGCCTCAGGAAGCGTATCAAAGCATTGAAAGCATACTAGAGCGCACAAAGAAGAGGAAACGGTCCACGTAATCCTCCTGCTCTGTGTCTTTAGTGTAGTATGGGATGGTGTCTCATTCTACAGGAGAATCTGAAATCTTCAAGCCTCCTAGCCGCATTTGTTCGTAAAGAATTTATGTGATCGCAGTGAATTTGCCAAGTCTCCCTCCAAGCTCAGTCTCATCCAAATCACCGTCCGAGAAGAACAGGTTTGATGCCTGTGGGCAAAGCCAGACACAATCAACCCATCAGCACCGGTAACCCCGAACGTCTTCAACAAACCCAAAATACTTGACACAGCTAGTCTTGAAAAGTCGCTAGTAGGTTGGAGGCCATCGCTAATTATTAGGTTGGAGGCCATCGTGAGTAGTTTGGAGGCCATTGCAAGTGTGTTAAAAGCCAGGAGCCAGAAAAAGGGCAAAAGCAGTTAACAGTACTTGCACTTGCACGGCTCAAGCACCTGGAAGAGAGCAGCAGCTTCCACAAAAGAGATGAAGGCCTAAGTTCCAATTGGTAGATATTCATAGATGGATGATGTGAAACCTTGATTGGCACAAAAGGGCTATCATTCCAATACCAGCACCGGGCTCTTTGAACTTTATAAAGCTCAGCTTCGGCATTGCTGTTTGACTAGTTTCTCGAAATCCGGTCTTGCATTCCCTCACTTCGAGCGGCTGGAGTGGTCTGCTCTGCCAGGGAGGACCTGCGACATTCGGCATGGTTTATCAAACACGACTCTCCAAATTCCAATGTTTACAGGTCATGCCCATGACTTTGCTTCAGACTACAAATGATGGGATGCAAGGGTGCAATGTGAGCACAAAATTTTGTCTTGCTTGGGTAATTTGCTGGACAAACAGAACACATCAAAACACACACTCTTTTGTCACTGCCCAGTCTGATCTAATTTGCTGTCAAGTTCTTTGCTCTGAAAAGGCGTCCTGTCCAACTTGCCTTGCATAGACGAGGAAGTGCGTGTGTGAGTTTCGCTGAAGATTTGTAGGGAGGCTCAGCCTGACCAACGTGATTCTCGAAGAATTCACAGTTGGGTGATTGATCCTTGCTGGTAATTCCCTTTGTTGGATTTTGGCAAGAATAAAACACTGAAAGCCAAGCTGCTGGTTCGTGCCAACGACCACTGAATCGACCTGCAGGATCCGACAGCCCGTGATGGCTGTATAGGCAAAGCGGCGGTTTGTGCTGTGCTAAAGATATTGTGTAAATCGCCTGAGAACGTGAATCACCTGTCTCACTGCTTGCCAAATAGACCACGTAGTCCTGAATCTCATGAAGAATTTATAGATCCTCGACCCCTCAACAAAATGTGGTGCATAGCTGGTCTCAATAATGTTGCTTTCTCAATACCACATCTGTGTATCTATGATGGCAAAAGTCAAGATATTATAATCCGGTGTTGAGATAGAGCCTTAGAGACACCAGCTGCAGGTTTAGTCCTGAAACCATAAAAATAAATTGGCTGACTGTCCTGGATTCCTCGAAGCTCGTCGCTTGATGCCTAGCAAGGCTGGAGCATGTCAAACTAGTGTGCTCTGCCTGTGTGTGTGTGTTCACTCACCCGAGCCTGTGCCGTCCAGTACAGCGTGCCCTCAAGCACATCAAGGTTCAAGTCCTGCACGAGATCAGGTGGTTCCATGTTCACAAGCGTTATATTTCGCCATTTAAGGCCATTGGTATTAGGTTGGGGGCCATCGCTTTCACATTATCTCGCAATTGCAAGTTATGCTCATTAAAAAGAAAAAAAAACATCACATCGAGGCAGTCATTGCCAGTGAAGGTGGGCTGATACACTGTGCCATTTCTGTCAAAGATTGCCAGATACGCTGGGGTTGTTTGCTCCACCAGGCTGGATGCGGTATAAACCTTGGAAATGAAATTGAAAATATAGAGAAAGTATCCAAAGCTCAAGAGCAAACAAAGTCTCTTTCTTGGGCGGTGTCAATCCAAGCGGCCAGCCAGTAAGTGTGATCAGACCTGTTTGTCTCTGCGGGCACTGTCACGTTCTCATACTCCCAGGTCGTGTTCGTGTAAAACGTGCGTGTTGTGCCCACAGCATCCTGGGCAGGTATCTCAGATTGTCCATCTCCGACAGGAAGTTGACAGCAACCAAAAAAGTCCCTTGCGCCTCGGCAAAGTAAACTACGTAGTGGTCAATCTCGCTGGTCATGGTTGGTGAAGACCACAGTAGGGTTCCTGCAAAGAAACGAGACTGCGCCGGCAGTTTCTGAAACAGACAGTGCGACACCGTGACACCCTTCCAAGTTGCGCTTAAAACTACCACCATGAGCCGCGCGGGGGGGCAAGAGGGACGCACAACTCCAGTGTCAAGACTGGCCAAGCCATGTCATCCCTGAAGCTCGAGGAGTGAAAAATCCTCTTGCCGCGCCTCCAATCTCCCCATAGTCCAAGTCTAGATCTTCAAAGGTCACGTCTTCCGCCGTGGAGTTCCTAAAATGCAGAGTGTGGTTTCGGTCCTTGTTGAATTATCATTGACAGTGCTGGTGGAAAATTTAGAGCTGGTTGAAGAGATATGGTGCTGCCTCTTGCCACCACTCCGAAATCGAACAAACTCAGCTAAGGTGCTGGTCGGTGACAGTAAAGGCACCCGGAGTAGTCTGCTCAACGAATGACGACTCTGTATAAACCAGCATGCTGAGACGCCCATAGTTCCTGAGATCGAATCTTCGATTTTTTTTAAGGAGTCCATGGCAAATCCTCCTTTTCTGCAAAATCTAGAATCCTGTCCAATTCCTGCTTGAGTGCGTGTGATGCAAAATATGCGAATGGATCATGTTTGAGGTTTGCAAACAAGCATCGAGTACTCCGGCGCCAAGTCCACCGCTGAGGTACCAATTTCAACGGCATCTGAAGAAATGTCCTGGAATGCATCCGTATGAAAGGGAAACCGGGATTGGATTCTCCTTCTGTGGCCTTGTGAATTGAAGACTTGCTGCAGACAGAAGGTAGCTGCCAAAGAGACTATGGAAGAAAATGGAAATCAAAATTGATTATTTATCCACTTCTCATCATTTGGCTGCTCCTGACCCCAAGAGATCCAGCCGGTATTTGTAGTACGTGTTTCTGGCGTGGCAAAGTCAGTGTTCTGTGAATGCAAGTTGAACCAGTAGGAGCCTCAGTCAAAAGGTCGGGTGCACCAGGCACACAGCCAGGCTGCCACCCAGCTCCCCCTCTTCTAGCGCTATTGAGCACAGCCTCCAACCTAATAGCAGCGATGGCCTCCACCCTAATAGCAATGGCCTCCGTTCTGTCAACCGTTGCTTATCAGTTCAATCAATTCAAGTTGTTCCTTCCGAAGCCCCAAAGGAAGCTGTTAGATGCTCCAAGGAGCCGGTCTCAGAACCCTCCAGGATCCACTGGATTGGATCCCGATCTGACGCATCATTTGCTGTGGTGAAGCTGAATGCCTGGAAGAGAAATCTTGTCCAATGCAGTTGAGGCAGAGTGGATGCATGTGGCTGTCATATGTGGGGAGAACATTCTCACGTGGTGTGTGTGTGTGTAACCCTTGGAGTCATAGGGATGCTTTTGCATTTATTTTTTTTGTTTTATCGCAGGGGG